CCCCCTGGTGGGCTGAGCTGGCCACACACACACACACAAATAAATAAATTAATAAATAAATAAAATTAAAATTTTATACATTCTACACAAGGTATACCACATGCTAAACAGGGAAGAATATGTTTCCTTAGGTTTGAAACAAAAACCTATCCACTCAGATCAGACATCACTAGTCAAAAAATATATTCACAGGGAATAACACAAACTCAGTGGAGGATGGGTATAGAACAGCTGCAAGCCCCTAGCTCAACCCCCACCATCCAAAAAATAGCTTAAATTCAGGAGCAGCCTGGGTAATAGTGCAAGATCCCATCTTAAAAAACAAACAAACAAAAAAAAAAAAACAGGTGCTGGGGAGATGGCTCAGTAGAATAAGCCCTTGTCTGGCAAGTGCAAGGACCAGAGTTCAATTCCTAGTTCCGAAGAAAAAAACAAAAAACAAACAAACAAAAAACACAAAACCAAACAAATGAGGGAATGGCCCCCAATCTAACCCCAGCTGGAAGGCAGAGCAGGGTAAGGCAGGGGAGCACATGCATATGCTCATCCCAGGCTGGCCAGGACAGGTTAGCAGGGCCCTGTATCAGAGTAAGAAACAAGACAAGGGCAGGGGATATAGTGCAGCAGCAAAAGCACCTACCTGGCAAGTGCAAGGTCCAAGTTCAATCCCCAGTACCACAAAAAAGACAGACAGACAGAAGTTGAACATAGCTCAGCAGGAGAGGGTCTTGGTTCAATCTCCAGTATTGTAAAACAAACAAGTAATAAATAGCACATAGGTTTTTGACATCAATACAAAAGGATAACTACATTTGAGCCTGATTAAAATAAAAAGATCTAAGGACAGGCCAAATAGCTCAGCGGAAAAGTGCCAGCTTTGGCAGAGCACAATGGCCAGGGTTTGATCCCCAGTATTCTGTGCCAGCCCCTCCCCTGGGGGAACACTGAGCTGGAGATTGAGACTGGGCATGGTGGCACATGCCTGTAATCCCAGGACTTGGGAGGCTGAAAACATGAGAATCACTAAGAGTCTGATCTATGTAGTGAGACCCTGAAGACCCTGTCCTAAATACATTAAAAAAATAATAATAAAATAAAAGGATCTTGGGGCCGGGGAGATGGCTCAGTAGGATAAGTGCTTGACTGGCAAACGCAAGGATCTGAGTTCAATCCCTGGTTCCACCAAATAAATAAATAAATGAATGAATGGATCTAATATTATACAAGGCGCTGGGGAGATAGCTCAGCGGTCTAAGCACCTGCCCGGCAAGTGCAAGAACCTGGCTTCAATCCCTGGCACCATATGCCACCAAAACCGGACATGGTGGTGCACTCCTGTACTGGGGAGACTGAGACAGGAGGATCACTACAAGTCTGAGCTGAGCAGTAAGTCCCTGAACCAAATCAATCAATCAGTCAATCAGTCAATCAATCAATCAATCAATCAAACATTATACAAAAATGTTCTGTGAGGTTATAAAAATAGGAAGATAGCTGTAAACTCAGATTTTCAATGGATCTGGCCTGTATGGGGGCACAAGCTGACAGTCTCAGATACTTAGGAGGCTGAGGCAGAATGACTGCTTCAACCTAGAGGAGCAGAAGGTCAAGAGCAATACAGTAAGACTTTGCCTCAAAAACAACAGAAACAGAACTACAGCTGTAGAAAGCACTAGACCCTAGTTTTGATCGTCAACATCGTCACACATACATACACACACGCACACATCAAATACTCCATTGGTCCAAGACTCTGGCAAAATGTAAGTTTCAGCACCCTAAATGAACTGTTAGGACAAGATGCGATGTCTTAGCAGTAGCTGAACCAGCATATAGCATCCAAAAGTTCAAAACAACAAAAAAGTGCCTTGGCTGAGGGTGGGGGCACTCATCACCAGAAAGGCAGCTTGTTCATTCAGGAAGTCACGTCTACGCCACGCAGTATGTACAACACTCCTCAGAAGGAACCAGTCCCAGACTCACTGTGTGTCCATGCCGACTCTGCCGACTCATCCCAGCTCAGCGCCCTGGGGAGCAGCCATGACTCAACAGGCACCTGCTAACCTCGGGATGGCTACCTCTGAAGGTAACACTACACCCAAAGGCACAATGGAAAGTCAAAAAGCTCCCTGCTCCACCATTGCAACTCATCTCTACCTACTAAAAGGAGGCATAGAAGCTTTCACTAGTTCCTAGGTTAACTTCACACATTAAGCATCGAGTAAGACCCATAAGCAACCTTGTATAAAAGAAGTTTTTCATGAGTAGGAAAATGAGGGCTGGGGAGAAAGCTCAGTAGAATAAGCGCTTGCCTGGCAAGCACAGGGTCCTGAGTTCAATCCCCAGTACCGTTAAAAAAAAAAAAAAAAAAAAAAAAAAGGAAAAGGAAAAAATGAACTTAACACATCTGCAGTTAAAAGATCTGATTAAGGAATTCATTTAAAAATCCAGGGGCCGGGGAGATGGCTCAGTAGAATAAGCGCTTCCCTGGCACGCGCAAGGGCCTGAGTTCAGTCCCCGGTTCCACAAAAAAATAAAAAAAGATAAAAATCCATAAATGTACAAACATGCACAGACAGCTCTGAAACCACCTTGCAAAAAAAGGACATTGCATTGTAACAAAGTGGGAACAACCAACAAGAAAGCGCAGAACACTGTATGGCCCAAAGGTGGCGGCTCCGTTCATGCCTCCCATTTGCTGTGCCAGGAACAGGCCCCGGCCTTACCACGCCCGGATGTCACAAGGGCCTACCTGAGGTGCTCATACTTCCACACACCTTCATCCTGGCCTTCAGGCGGTTCGAGGATTCTGTCGATATTGGAGCAATCTGCCCTTATGTTCTGTTGGATATACTACAAATAAAGAGGTTCTCAAGGTTAAAATGTTTTCCTCCAGAGTACAGGGCATACGAGAATATACAACTTTTGAATATATAACTTTCTTGTGGCTCAACTTTTGGCTTATACACTAAAAAGGAAAACCAGGGCTGGGGAAGACAGCTCAGTACAATAAGTGCTTGCCTGGCAAGTGCAAGGGCCTAATTCAATCCTCGGTTCCGCAAAAAATAAAAAGGAAAACCAAATTTAGAAACATAAGTATCTCAGAAAAAAGGAAGTAATCCTGACTTATTCTTTAATTCAAATTCACTGGAGATAAGAGTATTTACCAAGATCGGAACTGGGATAAAACTAGCAAACCATCCTAACACCCCAGCACTCTGGGAAGCTGAAGCAGGAGGACCATAAATTCAAGCCCTGCCCAGGTGATTTGGTAACTTAGCAAGAATAACATGAAAAGAAAACAAAAAGGTTATGGGTACAGCTCAGTGTGAAGGCCCTGAGTTCAATCCCAGTATCAGAAAACAAATACATAAATAAAAGCAAACCATGATCTTCACGTAAGCCTAAGATACAGACAATGCAAACATAACCACACGTACTACTGTTTGTATGAAGTGCCAGGAACAGCAAGCCTACAGGAACGGACAGCAGCCTAGGAGATTGGTAGGGCTGAGGAGAGAGGAAGACGGGAAAATGCAACCGAGGACAGGCAGAGTGAGGTGACAGTTTTACAACTCTGAGAACCACTGAGTTTTACATTTTTAAATGATTATTTTTATGGTATGCTACTTATACCCAATAGAAGTTGTTTTTATTT